TTATTTATCCAAACCTAATTACGAAGCATGATTCTTCGCCAAATAGGATTCCGAAGCACCAGAAGCAGCCACGTAGGCTCAACGCATTCTGCAATTATATATAGGGAGGATTTGAAGAGGTATATATTTATCTTGAATTTAAAGAGGTATATGCACTTAGAACCGACTCTGATGCCATGTAAAAAATGGGGGCAAAACGAGTACGGTTTCACACACGTGAAACGCACCATAACCGGGGTGAGCCTAGATGTACCATAGTGAGGTTCCACCCAAAAATCAATTGGTTGATGAGAGGAGTAACACACTATAGACTTATAAGTTAGGTCTGTTTTCACTGTATAAACGATGTGGGACAACTCACAAGTGATATTCTAACAGTATATATTTGTTATCTTTTCGTGACAGTGAAGAAACGCCGAAAACTGTTTGTTGCCCGTGAAAAGAAAATATCGACTGAATCAAACGCAAGGAAAATATGTGAATTTAATTTTCAACTTTTTCTTTTAATTTTTGCAATTTTTATTATGCATATAACTTCTTTATGTTAACAATATGACTTTAGTATTTGATATCACATGGGTTATAACTTATAATACTAGCACATGTTAGGTTAGTTTCGATATTCTACATCAAATTACATACTTATTCAAATAATCGCTACAACTCGATTGAAATGATAATAAATCAAATAAAAATCTAGGTAAAGATATGCCGGATCTCGACCACGTGTCCACTTTCCAGTGGCTGCCGCACACGTGTCCTTCCTAGAAAAGCAAGTCTCTGTCCAAACATGGTATACAACCATGCAGAAGCGTACACAAGGCCTGTGGGCCCATATAAGGCCCTTAATACTGTCTGGGCCTGTAACGTGGCGGGCACCCTATGGTGCAGCGAATGAACGGCGATGGGCTTTGGGCCCACGTTCCGCTTTCTCTTCAGTTTATGTAGATAAGAATGTAAATGTGAGGAAGATGATGTACTCAACTTTACTGGGCCCAAATTGGGACCCAGTTTTGGACTCAGCGACCAAGGAGATTGGGGAATTGGGCCCTTTTCTTTTTGGCGGTGACACCACTCCTTCCTTGTTTTTGTTTCTTTCTATTTAAATATTCATTTAAAAAAATTATCCTAAAGAGTTAAAGAAAGAATCTAGAATTTATTTTATAACTATATATCCTTACAAGCTTTGACGTTGGACCATATAATACGATGAGATTGGTCATTATTTTTTATTTTTATTTTGGTTTTTGTTTTTTAAGGATGACATGATGTTTAGGTGCTTTTATGAAGCTTTCCCACTACAAAATGAATTCGGTGTTATCTGAGCTTCTTGCCAATAGAACATTAGACCTACAAAAATTCTCACATCTGAAGAATTTTTTTAGTGAACAGCCTCCGATATTTAAGTTAACACAATGAATAAAATGATGTGTTGTATGTAAGTAGAGAATAAAGAGAAGGTAATGTAACAATGAGCATACCTCACTCTCTTATATAGAAAGATAACACATTGTTGTCCAAGAATGCCCGAGTGGGCTGCCAGACTGTCAATTCGTACTGCCCGAATTGCTCGATCTTGACAACTATTGTATCCCATAACTTTATCTTTTTGTTATCGCTAAAGGCTTTTTTTCGAATCCACAAATTATTTTTCAACCTCATTATTTTATTATTTTTTTTACTACGAGACATCAAACACTGACATTCAACATCAAGTCACCAAATATAGCAACATTGATCAAGATAATCACAAGATCATCAACAACACAATTCGATTCAAAATCAATTCACAATAATTAGTTAAAAAAATATCTTGATTAGTAGCCTAAGAAAAACAAGCTATTAGTCAGTAGTTTTCTAAATAATGACCAAAAGCCGACCGTTGGATTTCATAAGATTTACGAGTTAGAAGTTTGGTCTTACAAGCTTCCAAATGACACATCCCAATCGAAAATCGGATACCTTGATTATCAGAAAACTTGAATTTTGAATTTTTTTCTATACACACGTGCTCCTATAATCTTCGTGGATCGATTATAGAGGTATCAATTTCCAGAATTCGACAAACCATATCTTATTTTGTTCGTCTCGTCGTGAGCTTTAAAAATCCTAAATTGATTTTAAAGATTAATTTAAAATTTAACATTAATTGAGTTGAAAACTTTTGTGTCATATTAGGGTTTTTAATTGAAGAGGCAAATTGTCAGTTTCCATTATATTGGGAGAAAAAAAAAATAAAAAATTTATATGACAAACTCTAAAAAATGACATATTTGGACTGCAAATAATTAGGTGCACCCTGGCACACCTAGCAAATTGTGCCAAGACATTTTTAAAATGAAAATGTTACTTTATAAAATGAAAATATGTTACGGTAGAAGTTGAAGAATTTTGGGGGCTAAAGTAGTGAGAAGAAGCGGTCACTGACAAGAGACAGCGTGCACTGAACAAGCAGCAATCGAATGAGAAACACAAATGGAACAACTTCACAGAACGGCACGAGAAGACGAAGCCGTAGAACAACAGCAAGTAATTTGGAGCTGGGGCGCCGGCACCGAAGGGCAGCTTGCGACGGGTAGCCTTCGAGATGAGCACAGCCCGCAGCTCCTCCGTTCTCTATCCACCCTTGGGCCGCCAATCATTTCTCTCTCCTGCGGCGGCGCCCACGTCATCGCCGTGTCCGCCGGTTCGCACACGCACTAAATCTCTCTACTGCTTGCATTTTGCCAGATTTTTCAATTCTATTCTTCTTGTTTGTGCAGGTGGAAGAGTGGTGACGTGGGGAAGGGGCACTTCTGGTCAGTTGGGCCATGGGGAAACCATTAACTCTTTGGAACCAAAAATCGTCGAATCTTTTGCTGGTTTTGTTATCACTAACGTTTCTGCTGGCTGGAATCATTCTGGGTTCGTCTCAGGTTGTTTCTCTTACATTTTCCCTTTTGTAGTCTGTACCCTATGTTCATTGATTTGTGATCATAACTCCTATTTCGAGATTTTTTTTTTGAATGGTTCATAATCCCTTCCAAACGACGCAATGTGCCTTGGGTCGCTACGGAAACAGGCTCCTTGTATAATTACAAGGGTAAGGTCTGCGTACAACTGACCCCCCAGACCCCAACCTGTTGGGAATATACTGGGTATGTTGTTGTTGTTCATAATCCCTTCCAGTTTGTTAGAGATTCAGTGCTGGGAATGTCTACTGGTTTTTAACTTTGACAATCTTGAATTTGTAAGCAATAGAATCAAAATTCAAATGGAAAACAATATGTAAATTTTGGTTTGCCTTTCTCAGGAAAATTTAGCTTATGCAGAGTATATATATATGTGTGTGTGTGTGTGTGTGGGGGGGTGGGTGGGTGGGTGTCGGGGCGCTTTAGCTTTTAAATAGGCTTCTGGCATTAAGCCCATTTTTTTGTAGTTCCATAGCAATTCATTTCATTTTTATTGTCCGCTAATCGGTTGTTAGTTAATAAAGAATGAAGTTTGTCACATCTTTAGACAGTTTTAATCAATTTAACATGGTTTTATGTGACCAATAAGATATATGGTATTGGCATCAACAATGATAAGATCCGTTGATCTGTTCCTGCCTTCAAAAGTCCAATCGTTGCGCAATCAAAGTGTGTAACAATTATTTATCGTAAGAGTACAATTAGTTGGTGCGAAATTCAGGATATGAATGATTTCGAGATACAGTTTGTCGAAAATTTCTACTGGTTGCAACTGACTTTCTTAGTTGAAGATCAGGTTTCTCTATGCATCTTTTAAGGAGATTTAGCTTCTCTGATTCACTCTACCTTTTCATAATTGTTTTCTCTTCTTTGTATGTAACCCACGATCTTCTATGCAGTCAATTTCTCATAGTTTTTCACTCAAAGCGTAATTTTCTACTATTCAGAAGATGGAGCCATTTTCACCTGTGGTGATGGTTCTTTTGGTCAACTTGGCCATGGTGATTATAAATCTCAATGTTCTCCTCAAAAAGTCTTGTATTTTGGCTCTAAGAACGCCTTGCAAGTTGCTTGCGGAATGCGCCATTCATTAGTGTTAATCAGAGGTAATTGCACGAAAACCCTTGCATCTTTTCCCCCAATTTATTGATTAAAAGATGTTAGATCACAATAATATGCCTCATTATTTATATTCCTTAATATTATGTCTTTGGTTTTAGTGTGATGTACTACTAGTTCATGTACGTAATTATGCTAATAGGTGAGAGGGCATCGTGCACTCGATGTTGAAATATGTTAGAAGCTTAATTAGTAAATGCAGTGTTCCATTCCTTGTAATCTATATCTATCTATTCTATATCTATACTATTATAAAAGAGCCAATGAATCTGTAAAAATATGATATCCCTAAATTAACCTTACTTTGTCATGTTTATAATGTCAATTTTGTAATTTAATACCCCCATTCTATACTAATATTTTTAATTAAACACATTCTAGATCTTGGGGTTTATGTATGTTGGTTTGGCCCAATTATCAATGCCGTCTATTTATCAAAATTTCTCCCTTTTGAATATCTTGTCACTCCCCATTTTCACTTTTTGTCTGGAACTTTTACATTTATTTAAATAAGATTTTCAATGATATTAAAATCTGAATAAACTTTTAAAAATTATCAAAATGTTAAATTTTACATTTATTTAAATAAGATTTTCAGTGATATTAAAATTTGAACAAACTTTTAAAAATTATCAAAATGTTAAGTTAGTGTACAGAAAAAACAAAATTATGACATTACCTTACCAAATACTCATTTTTTTAAAATTTAGACAAGCAAAATATCTTTGTACCAAAAAAAAATAAAAAATAAATAAATAAATAATTAAAAAACGCTATGATAGATAAGGAAAAAACTAATAAAAAATATTATTGCTTCACATGAGCAATTGATTTTCAAGATGAGAGCTCTATAAACAATGATAATTTCAATTTTTTGTATATTAAATATTTTATTTATTGACATTATTTTAAGATTTGTAAATATTTTTATGATTTTCTCAATAATTTTAAGAGTTTATTTAACCGTAAGTATATA